CCTGTAGCAGATATTCTGAATCACGTGGCCAACCATAATGCCAACCTGGAATACTCCCCTGTGAGTGCAAAGCTGCTACACCCGGCAGCATCGTGATCTGGTTCCTCTTTCCCATGAAGCCTTTGGGAGGCTGGGTCTGTGAACCCAGAGCCAGAGCCGTCTAACATAAAGCTGTTTTGCTCAACATCCTCCCCTGTGCTGGCACAGGACCCATCCCTGGCAGTGTTCAAGGTCAGGTTGGACAGGGCTTGGAGCAACCTGCTCTAGTGGAAGGTGTCCCTGTCCATGGTAGGGGGCTGGAACTGGATGAGCTTTAAGGTACTTTCTAATGCAAATTAGTCTGTGATTCCATTATTTTCTCCCTACCTGCAGCAATGTTTACGCATGGTTACAACACAGCCTGTCAGCAAAGGGCAGGAGATCTTCAACACATACGGGCAGATGGCCAACTGGCAGCTCCTCCACATGTACGGCTTTGCAGAGCCATACCCCAGGAACACCAACGACACAGCCGACATCCAGATGGTGACAGTGCGCACGGCAGCACTGCAGCGTGAGTGGCACTGTGGGCAAGGACAGGGCAGGGATCCCCCTTAAGTAATGATGTGATGAAACAGGGATCAAGGAGGACATGAAAAATAAACCTGTTCCACAGCATCACAGGTTCTGGGGCCATGCCTAGGTTTTCTCCCTCCTTGTTCCCCTTCTCTGTTTGTCATCTCCCCTCCACCACAACCCAGGTTGGGCTTGCATCTCTGCTGTATTCCAAGCAGGTGCCAGAAGTGAAGCACAGCAGCAGCTGGTCTCAGAGCAGTGGGACTTCTTGTGCCAGCTGGAGATGGTGGGGGAGGAAGGTGCCTTTGTGCTTGGCTGGGATGAGGTGCTGACAGAGGAAGAGCTGTCTGTGACCCTGAAGGTAAGTGATGGAAGAGCTACTGAAGAAAGAGCAGAGATTACGCAGGGAGAACAGCTTGGTGAAGGGGGAGCAGCATGTAAGGACAGCGTGGTACCAATGCTCCTGTGGGAAATGCAGTAGGGAGTGTGGCTGCCCAGCTCCCAGGCTTCAGACACTGTTGGCCACCTTCCTTTCCTGAGCCATGACTTATGCACCAGCCCTGAATAGCTTCATGGCTGCTGCTGCTCTGGAGAGCTGGTGTACCTTCCTCGAATCAGAATCCCAGGTGGGAAGGGACTTCAAGGATCCTCTGGTCCAACCTTTCTGGGCAAAGCATGACCTAGACTACATGTCCCAGCACCCTGTTCAGCCCTATCTCAACGGTCTCCAGCGTTGGGAAGTCACCAGTTCCTGGGGAGATTATTTCAGTGGCTGGTTGTTATCAGAATGAAACATTTTCCTCTTGTCTCCATTCAGAATCTCCCCAGGAGTGACTTGTGCCATCACTGTCTATTCCATTGGACTTTTTGTAAAAAGGGAGTCTCCATCTTCTTTGTAGCCACCCTTTAAATACTAAGGCACTGGGGATAATCACTGAGCCTTCCTTTCTCAAGGCTGAACAGACCCAGCTCTCTCAGCCTTTCCTCACACAGCTTCCTAGTCCTTGGATCACCTTTGTGGCCCTTCTCTGGACCCTCTCCTGCCTGTGTAAGTAGCAGCAAAGATCATTACCACTGCTGCCAATACCCAGATTTGCTGTTTGGATGTTCTTCTAACCCACAGGTTACTTGTGATTAGGGTCCGAGTCAGATTTACTCTCTCACCTTCAGTGCAGCTGAGGAGTAATTCACCTGCTCCACATGGCTCTAAACCCACAGCTCTGCAGAGAAGGCGGCTGATGTACTCACACTGCTGGTGACTTGTCTCTTTGTCTGGGCCATTACAGGTGCTGTGCATGTCAGAAGAAGAATTCAAGGAATATAAGGAACAAGATGGCTGGGAAGATGATGGTGAGGAAGAGGAGAACTTGACCCTTACAAACGAGGCTCTCTCCAGACTTAAACCCCCTTGCAAACAGCTCCTTTATGACAGTGTGCTGCTCACCCTGGAGTCCTATGGGTCAGACTTGAAAGCAGAGCAGGATTTGCTAAATAACAAGGAGGCTTATGAGAAACTGAGTCGAAGGGAACAGCAAGCTTTGCATGTGCGCTATGGACAGAAAAGGATCTTGCATCAGCTGCTGGAGCTGGTACACTAGAAACCTCACTGCCCCTGCAAATGAACTGCCTGGAGCTGTGCACAGGAAGGGAAGGTTGGCCTTCAGCCATGTCCCCTACAATAGCAAGAACAGATGGCAGGATTGAACACAGGCCCACTTACACTGCATCTGGCATGTGGCTTTTTAGCTACCTCTACCTAAACCATCTTCCACAACACAGAGTGGTTTTGGGTGGCCTTACCTTACCATGAGAGCTCTGGAGCACAACTACCACCTTCTATAGGACTTCAGAAAGCTCAGACTTCCTACTGGCTGACTTTAGGAAGGCAAACGTACACTGTCAGAACAGCAAGTGGGTTCCCTCGTGTAGCATTACACATTCAAGGCAAGAACTGCTCCTTGTCCAGATGGAGAGGGCAGAAATCCATCTGATAGGCCTTACACCTTACTGTTCAGAGTAAACACCTGGCAGATGGCGATGCTGACAACACTGAACTCTTCACGTATACTCACACAGGCTCAATAGAGCAGGGATCTCCTTTTACCTTTATAAAAGGCATTTCTGTATGGGCTTGGGACTGCTGTGAAGGAACACTGACACAGTTGTGCACACCTTCCAGTTGATAAGAGTTCTCCCCTGAACTCAGGCACTGCTCTGCATCATGTTTAGCTATATTAATATCTTTCCCTCAGCAGGTTTTGCATGACAGCTCACTGGAGGTTTGCAGGCCAAGCTACATTTAATAAAGATGCTATTTCTTACCCAGCCAATGCTGTCTACTTCAACAAGGTACAGAACCCCATCTAAGAGGGGGGATCTTTGCTGCTGCTGCAGTTAAAGTATTGCAAACAAACAAAACCCAGACTGTACTCATGTAGATGAAGGGCAGCTACAGCCCTGCTTGCACTACTCGGGGCCAGGATGGTTTCACAGTACCTAGGGTAGCTTTGTTTAATTCCCCTTGTAGAGTGATACAATACAAGTGTCTGTTCGCAGTCCAGCCTGCTGTCTTGGTGCTTCCCTCCCTACAGCACACTGGGTTTCACACTAGGCATATGCCATGGTTCAAAAGGTCAGTCTTCGTTTCTTAAACATGAATTCTACCCATGGCCTCTGCTGGTAGGGATACCACTAATCCTTGTGGAGCTGACAATAGCACGATTTACACTGACAGTACCTGCTGCAGGTTCCTTACCTGCCGAGAGGGTATGAAATGCAATGGCCTCTGTCCTACCAGCCCAACTCGTGTTACTGGGATCCTGGCCAAGTCCTGTCCACCTTCCACCCCTCTTAATGCCAGCCTTACAGTTCTTAAAGCATCAACAGAATCAGTCATGGACAGCAGTGTTAGTACAGAACCAGAGAGATCTCTAAGCTTTGAGTTGTTAGGCTCTGCATAAGGTTTGCTAGAGATAAATGGCAGGAAAAAAGTCCCATGGCATCCTGACTAGGTAAAGAAAAATGAAGAGCAATAAGCTGGATTTGCAACACCAAAACAAAAAAGTCCTTCCTGAGCTGCAGTCCCCTGGCACAGCTGGCTCCGTGATCCCTTGGAGCTGGAAAATCACAGCCAGGCACACAATCCCTTAAACCTGAGCTGGAAATCCTAACCTATCAACCCTTACAACTAGCAGCCAACTAGTTTTAACAAACTGGTCATGTTATCCAAAGAGGAAGCAGTGAAGCTGTTTCCTAGTATCTGCTGGGCTGTGAGGCAGAGGCTGAAGGAGTTTGCAATACTGGCACCACTGAAGCCACCTATCCTTATTCCAGCTAACAGGCAACCTTGCAGAGATCCTTGCTGAAAGGAGTAACATAGCAGGGTACAAACCATTAGAAATGCAGCTGAGCTGCTGTCTGTGCTCAGCATCCCTCTGCTGCCAGCACAATCCTTTCTAGCACAACTGTGTCAGGGACAAACTCTGCTCCTGAGCTTGCAACTGAGATACCTCTCTCTCCAGAGAACTTTCACATTTCAAAGCAAGGCCCCATCTAGTCCTAACAATTGTCCCCTTGGACCTCACCTAGAAAACCCAGCTGCTCTCAACAGGCAGGGCCCAAAATACTGGAAACCCACAGGTTTTTGGATGGGTGGAGCAGACTTTGGAAGACACCAACTGGACAGGCAGGATGGAACTGGAGAGAATAAGCACAGTGGCACATGCTGCGTCTCATGACTTTAATATGTAACTACAGTATGCATACATACAAGAAGTGGGAGAACTAAAGCCCAAGAACTAGAAAGGCTACAAAATACAACACATGGACCAATACTTTACAAAACATTCAAAATCCTTACAAAATGGGCTGTATTGGTCCTTTGGGGTTTTTCTTTTTTTCCTTTTTTTTTTTTTTTTTCCTTTTTTTACAAACTTATACTGTGTGGTCACGGGCTGGGGAGTGGGAAAAGGTGTAGATTTAACCTCCCACTTTCCACAATTTACAAGTGTCAAAAAAAACCCACAACCCAAAACAAAAACCAAAACAAAAACCCAACCAAAAGGAAAAAAAGCTATAGGCCTGGTCTCCGGTTTCTTTACTAAAACCAGCTGACCCTCTCCCAGAGGGCCTGCCTGAGGTGTGTCTTCTCCAACAGAAAGGAGGCATTCTCTGCCTGCCACTCCACTTGCTGTCTTGTCAGCATTTCATAAGGGTGTGGGGAAAGCAACACTGAACCTTAACCCCTCCCTCACCCCTTCTCGTGCTCCATAGTATTTCATATTCCAAACACATCCACCTTTTTTTTTTTCAGAACAACTTAGTGATTTAAAGGTCCCCCATCCACATAAAGAAAAATAAGTTATATAATATTATAACTGGCTTTTCAATATTCTTTGGGAGTCTGGGAATGTCAGAACAAGGAGGTCTGCCCCAGACAAGTGCTTGGCATCAGCAGCTGCCCCTTTATTACAAGCTGGACAGGCACCAGTTACCCATCTGCCTTTTACACAATTTGCACAAACCCAAAAGTCCAGACAAACGTTTCTGTTGTTTGTATTTACATTAGTTCAAAATGATATTCACAGCATCTCTGAATTTTGGCCAAAAGTCAGAAAAATTGGTTTAAAACTTTGGAACGTTTTTGAACGACTGAAACTTTTGGAACAACTTTCACCCAGGGTCGGTTGCGTGTGCCCAATCGAGGGGGCTGGGAAGGTCAGGAGGAGCCTTACAGAGTCTTCTGTCAGTCGATGGGACAGGGGCCCCCAGGCTGGCACGCTTACAACGTGACATGTGGCTCGTTTAACTGGCACCAGTCCCTTCCATCACTTGCTGGGCCTGCTTCTGCCCCATGCAGCACTGTGCGACTGACTGGAACAACCTGGACACACAAGCAAAGCAGTGTTAGAAACATTTACGGCAGCAAGTGGTGCTTCCACTATGAAGCACCAAAAATTCACAGTGCAACTCAGCCTATCCTTCAGATACATGGTTTCAATGAATTTTGTGGTTAGTTTATACTCACTTCTCAATTTCTGGGGCACAGTGAACAAACTCATGGTTCCAGAACTTAAATGCTGGATTTTTTATCAGCTCAATGAAAGTAATAAGGAGACCCCAAGGATGAGGCCTGTTTACAATCAGTCGTTCCAAGAGAACCCTGAAATCCAATAGTAAATCAGTTAGAGCTCAAAAGATCCAAAATACACAAGGAAGGAAAGTAAAAAGCTGTATGCTGGCACACAAAACACTTTCCATCTCACCTAGTGATCTGCTCCTGGATAGCCTCAGTGTTGGCCTCTGCAAACAGGTAGAGCATGGTGCAACTGAAGTAGTGGGTGTGACTGTTGGGGTATCGCAGCTGGTTGGCGATTGCATTCAAGAAAAGGTACCGGCCTGCAGAAGAAGCAGTGAGTACAGATGGTTTCCCTTACACACATGCAAAAAGGAGTAAGAAGCAGCTAGTACTGAGGTGAAGGTTTCTGAACCTGCCTTATGAAGGCAGAAGAAACAAAACCAACTGATGATACAAAAAAACAACCTGATGGGGCAGGAAGAATTCAATTCATCTTCATTAAACTTATTTCTCATTCCCTTGAATATCCTGAATATTTGGCTTTAATATTGCTCCTGTATTCAGAGTTGAAACATTATAAACGTAGCATGAGTTGCTGTCAATTCCCTAGCAGCTACATAAAATCACCTCCTGCATTTCTCATAGTGCCAAGAGGCAATCTGCTGCTAAATTTGACATCTCATGAACTAGAAGTGTTTCCAGCTCACCTTCAGTGTCCAAATCTACTGCCAAATTCTGGAAGATGTCCATGTGAGCTGAGTGGGTAATGGTGCTCATAGAGGGTGTGCTGCCTTTGTTGTGAATGTGCGCAATAGCTTGAGTACCTACGTAGAGCACCAGGGCATTAATCAGCTGGATGTTGTAGCGGTTGCCAGGTTCATTTGATACCTAATAGCAAAGATAGAAAAAGCATTAACAGTCTATATTCTTTCACCGATCAAAGGTACAGCATGTACAATAACAGCATCCTGTTAATCAGGAAGCCTCCTCTTGATTATTCAGAAGAGAACACGCTCAGGACATCCACAAATTCAATTTAGCATTTACCTTTTTGTAATATAGCAGATATATACATATGTATGTGTATATTCAAAAGCGTCAGAAAAGTGCTGACAGACCCAATGGACAATTTTTGTACTCCCTACAAAAGGTAGAGGCAATTTGAATTCACCAGCAGCGCCAGAGGCTGGCTGACACACACACAACCTATGCAAGTGCTTCCATATGAGCAGTGAATTTTCCGAGGAAGTTCCACTTCAGACCTGAAGTCTGTTGCAAGCCAAGCCTTATCATGTATGAAATGTGGCTGGCTAACAATTCTGAGCTGGCCTTTAGTTAATCTGCCTTTTTTTAACTCTTAAAGCATTAGCATGCAAAGTCACAGATTTCTAAAACAATGAATCCATTTGGAGTCAAAATTTAATTAAAAAAAAAATAAATTCAAATTCAATCAAGTTCCATAAACCTCGTTGAAGCTCAGGCAATGCCTGGGTAAGCAGTGCTGGAGTCATGTGATAGAAGCTACAAGACTTCATTGCTCAAAGGCTGAGGATAAAGAAAACAAGCAAGCTTGATGCAATCAGCTCTGACTACATTCTTTACTAAGATTTGCAAGATTGTGCACTACAGACATGTAAGCAGAAGAGTCAGAGTTTTAGATAACTTTACAATTTCACCACAAGCTTTTGGCAACTCGTGTAGATAAAACCATCTGCTTTTAAATTAAATCATTTTAGGGTCCTCAAAGTCAACGTTCCTCTGCCCTTAAAATCCACCCGTCTGAAATGACTCAACATACACTTAAACATCCTGCTAAGGAGTGGTAAAAGAATTACTCAGAGAAGTGTGCATTTCACAGCGCCTGGAACACATGCTTGCAACACACCAACGAAATTCCTGCAAGGATGGAGGGTAACTCAGGCACTGAAATAATTTTTCCCATGCTACTGAATTCAGCATCATCAGAAGCCACTCACCTGTAAGTTGCTACGTAAGTCAGACAAAAAAGTGACCGGAGAGCGGGTTTTGAGATAGGAATCCAAGTCTTTCTTGAACTGAGGTGGCATCACTCCAGTGAAATTTGTGAGTATTCGTGGAGCAATATTAATCTCACTTAACATATCCACCTGTGGAGAGAAAACCCAGGCAGCTAAACCATAAGCAATCTTTAAAGCAATAAACTGCAAAAGCAGATCTGTAAGCGATTATTAAAATCATCACAGAATCATAGAACAGTCAGGGTTGGA